TTCTGGTGATGTTAATATCTAGTTTTTGTATCTAGGTAATAAAACATCACAGAATGAATTACAAAGAACACACTCCTACCTTTTTTCTAAGAGTTTGTGAAAAACAGGCACAATGGCGCATGCCTGTAATCCAAGGACTAATGATAATTCTTTGATTTATTTATTTTTTGTATCAGGAATTGAACTCAAGGGCACTTTACCACTGAGCTACATCCCCAGCCCTTTTTGTTTTTTGAGACAGGGTCTCACTCGTTTGCTTAATGCCTTGAATTTGAAATCCTTCTGCCTTAGCCTCCTGAGTCACTGGGATTATAGGCATGTGCTGTCATGCCCAATAATTCTTCTTTAAACGTTTGGTAGAAAGGTTGAGGTTCCAGTTCAGTAGTAGAGCATCTTGTAGCAAGTGCAAGACCCTGAGTATGATCCCCAGAACCAGGAGGAGGAAAAGTTTAAATGTTTGGTAGAATTTACAACAAGTCATATAGATCTGGACTTTGCTCTGCAAGAAGTTTTTGGATTACTAATTCAGCCTCTTTTCTGCTACAGATCTGTTGAGATTTTCTATTTCTTCAAGTCAATTTTACTAGTTTGTGTCCTTCTAGGAATTTGTCCTTGTCATCCAAGTTGTTTAATTTTTTGGCATACAAATGTTCATAATATTCTCTAATAATTCATTTTCTTTTTTATAAGGTCAGTTGTGATGTTTTCTCTTTCACTCTTATTTTTAGTAATTTGAGTCTTCTGTTTTTCTTGGTTCATCTAAGTAAAAGTTTGCTAATGATTTCAAAGAAGCCGGGCATGTTGGTATGTACCTGTAATCCCAGTAATTGAGGAGGCTGAGGCAGAAGGATCACAAGTTTGAGGCCCTAAGCAACTCAGTGAGATCTTGTGTCAAAATAAATAAATAAATAAAAGCTGGGGGATGTAGGTTGGTGTAGCATCCCTGGGTTCAATTCCCTATACCAAACAACAAACAAAAAAACATGGGGTACTGAAACCAACTACATCTGGGCATTATAGCTTCTACCTGTAGTCCCAGCTATTCCAGAGGTGAGGCAGGAGAATGGCTTAAGCCTAGAAGTTTGAGGCCAGCCTGGGCAATATAGTGAGAACCCTGTTAGAAAACAAATAAATTAAAAAGAAAGGTGGCACACACCTGTAATCCCAGCAACTTGGGAAGCCGAGGCAGGAGGATCACAAATTTGAGGCCAGCCTCAGTCATTTAGTGAGGCCCCCAGCAACTTGGCAAGACCCTGTCTCAAAATAAAAAGTAAAAGGACAGGAGATGTAGCTCAGTGGTACAGCACCCTCGGTTCCGTCCCCAGTACCAAGAGAAAGAGAGAGAGAGAAGGAAGAGAGGGAGGGAAGCAAGGAAGAAAAGAAAGAAATCAACTACAGATTAAATATATCTAACCTGAAAACCTCCAAAATCCTAAACTCTTTGAGAACTAACAGGATGTCACAATTGAGAATTTCCCCTCCTAACTTCATGTTCATATTTCATATACACCTTTAATACATAGCCCAAAGGTAACCATCAGTCATAATGCAGGTACGCTAAAAATATTGTACAAGATTACCTTTGGGCAGCTGGGTGAGGTGGTGCATGCCTGTGATCCCAGTGGCTTGGGAGGCTGAGGCAGGAGGATCATGAGTCCAAAGCCAGCCTCAGCAAAAGCAAGACACTAAGTAACTCTTCGAGACCCTGTCTCTAAATAAAATACGCACGCACGCACACACACACACACACACACACAAAGCTGGGGGTGTGGCTCAGTGGTAGACTGCCCCTGAGTTCAATACCCGGTACCGCCCCGACCCCACCCACCCTCCCCCGCAAAAAATAAGATTAACTTTGGGCTATGTGTAGAGAGTACTGAACCCAATATATAAAGACCTGGATATCACAACTGTCAATCTGGTTATGATAACCTAAACAGCTACTAAGTGACTAACATAGGGAAAGCCTATACTGTACTACCCTATGCTGGACAAAGGGATGATTTACATCCAGGTCAGGACAAGGAAGGACAGCACAAGATTTCATTACCACCTCAGAGTGGCATGCAAATTTAAAACTTATGCATTGTTTATTTCTGGAATTTTCATTTAATACTTTCAGAACAGGTGATCATGCTTATTGAAACCTTACACAGCAAAATCAAGGATTAGGGCGACTACCATAATAGATGAAAGCACACAGCACAGAGCTTCTCATATGGTGAAGTCTCAGCTTCTCATATGGTGAAGAGTAGCTTATCAAAGCAAGAGACACTTGATAATCTGCTCAGAGGTATATACCAGTTATGTGGTGGAGCTCCAATGGGAATTTGAGATGGTGTGATTTCGAAATTCCACTCCTTCCATTATACCACACTAGCAGAATATTTTAAGTCTCTCTGTATATTATTTTTTGCTCTTCACCAATGAGCTCCATTCCCTAATTTTTTTATCTTTCTTTTCTTTTTTCTTTCTTTTTCTTTTTTTTTTTCCTTTTTCTTTCTTTTTTTTTTTTTTTTTTGGTACTAGGGATTGAACCCAGGGGCACTCCACCACTGAGTCACATCCTCAGCCCTATTTTGTACTTTATTTAGAGACAGGGTCTCACTGAGTTGCTTAGCACCTAGATTTTGATGAGGCTGGCTTTGAACTCACTATCTTCCTGCCTCAGCTTCCTGAACTGCTGGGATTATTGGTGTGTACCACCATGCCAGCAAACCCTTTTTATTTTGAAATGAGGTCTCACTAAATTGCTGAGGCTGCCCTTGAATTTATCATCCTTCTGCCTCAGCTTCCCACGTTTCTGGGATTACAGGAGTGTGCCACCATGCCCAGTTAGACCAGAGTTCTAACTTTCCAGATCAGTGCAAATTTTAATATTTTTCCTGTTATAAACTTAATAATACAGAAATATAGTCATACTCAGCTGGGAGTGGTGACACACACCTGTAAACCCAGTGGCTCAGGAGGCTGAGGCAGGAGGATCATGAGTTCAAAGCCAGACTTAGCAATTGAGCAATTTGGCGAAGCCCCAAGAAACTCAGTGAGACCCTGTCCCTAATGAAATATTTAAAAAGGGCTGGAGATGTGGCTCAGTTGTTAAGCACGGCTGGGTTCAATCCCTGGTACAAAAATAAATAAATAATTAATTAATTAAAAAATAATAATATAGATTTTGATGAAATATAAATATAAATCAACTTATTATCATCCAGAATTAACTATTAGCTCTATATATTATCTTTCAGGTTTTTTTTTTTTTTTTTTTTTTTGTACTGGGAATTTATTTAATCCAGGGACCCTTTACCACTGAGCTATATGACCAGGTATTTATTTTCATTTTGAGTCAGGGTCACTCTAGACGATTTAGGGAGGTCTGTCTCAAAATAAAAAATAAATAAAAAGGACTGGGAGGGGCCGGGGCTGGGGCTCATCGGTAGCACATTTGCCTGGCATGTGTGAGGCACTGGGTTCGATTCTCAGCATCACATATAAATAAATAAAATAAAGGTCTATCTACAATTAAAAAAAAAAAAAGATTGGGAATGTGGCTCAGTGGTAAAGCACCTTGGGTTCAATCCACAGCACTCAAGGAGAAACAAAAACAGTTGAACATGGTGGCCACCAACTGGGGAGGCTGAAGCAGTAGGGATCACAAGGTTTAGGTGAGCCTTGGCAACCTAGTGAGACCCTGACTCAAAATAAAAAAATAAAAGGATTGGGGATGTAGCCCCATAGTGCGTCCTGAGTTCAACACTAGTACCAAATAAAAAATTTTAAAAAAATAAATTAAGGCATGAATTGTGTTTCTTTCTTTTTTTTCTTTTTTTTTTGGACTAGAGATTGAACCCAGGGGCACTTTACCACTGAGCTATATCCCCAGTCCTTTCTATGTTTTATTTCCTGAGAGGATGTCGCTAAACTGCCAAGTCCGGCCTTGAACTTCAGATCCTCCTGCCTCAGCCTCTCAGTTGTTGGTATTAGAGGCATGCAACACTTCACTCCGCTGTTTTCATTTTTTATAACCTCTGCAGTGTTCATTCTTTTAATAGAATCTTTGTGCTTCTGATTATTTCTTCAGGATATGTTCCTATTAGTGATATTACTGGGTCAAAGAGAATGGAGCGCTTAAAGGCTCTCAATTACTCAAGAAATACTGGGTCAAAGAGGATAGCCCATTCAAAGTTTTTCAAATAAAAATAAACATTGCCAAACTGCTTTCAAGGAAGCATTGCTAATTCATAATTCACCAGCAGTTTGGGAGAGTGCCTGGCTCACAGGAATTTAAAACAAAACAGCTTTTTTCCCATTTTTAAAAAATTGGCACATTATGAATATTATAGTGGAATTCATTGTTACATATTCGCACATGCTTACAATATAACACTATAATTTGGATATCCCCTTTCAAAATCTGCTCTTTTGATAAATGAGAAATGGTGCGTTTAAACTTCTGTTTCTTTGATTAGTAAGGCTGAACGTTCTTTCCGGCAATATATATTTCTTCTTTAGTGGATTGCCGCTAACTCCTTTGCTCTCATCTTTCTACCGGGGTGATTTTATTCCTAGAAAGCTGGTTTTACAATATAAGCTTCATTTATTTGGGAAAAAAAAAAAATCTCGGGTTGTTAGTCCATAACTGCAGAGGCGCACAAAGGTGCGTTCACCACCGGGGAACTTTGCAGACTGCCTTCAATTCCCAAGGCGGAAACAGAGGTTTCCACAAATCGTTAGAGTGGGAATTGCTGCAAAGGCGTCGGCTCTCGGGAGCAACATCTCGCGGGATTTCAGTACTCCTCGGGGGTCTCCGGCCTGACTACAAGTCTCGATATAAAACGACGTGAGGCCCGAGTGACCAAATGAAGGCTCGGAACCAAGGTCACGTGTTCTCTGCGTCAGGCGTCCGGTCATCTCTCCCACGCCTTTTTCTTCAGCTTCCATCTTGGTCGCCATTTTGTGTGAGAGGTTCTGGAAACTCCGAGTCCCGCCGACTCTATGGTCGAGCGTTTCGGGGATCGACCAATCGTAACCCAGATCTAAAGGGAAAGCCCCGCCTTTACCCGCATAGAGGCGGGAATTGCCACGAAGCTCCTGTGGAGAGAGAGGAAGAAGCTGCAGAAAACCAATAAGAAAGGAGGAGTCGATGACGTCAACCAATGGGAATACGGGGGATTGCGACCAATGAAAGCGGAGGGACCCCGGGACACGTGGGTGGGGGAGCTGAGCGCTGAGACCAAGGGCTAAAGCAGAGAGGTGAGTCAGTCACCTTGAGCAGGGCGAGCGCTGTGGGCCAAGCAGAGGCCTTAGGGCAGTGGGAGTGCAGGTGACTTGGGGCCGGGAGTCAAGTGATCTGTAGGGTTGTAGGCCGGACCCTAAGGAGGGATATTTGTCCCCAGGGCTGGGAGAGACGATGGGGAAATCTATAGCTTTGTCAATTAATGTTAATTACCAACGGTAATGAGAGATAAACGGCCACTGGTGGGGTGAGTAGACATCTGTGTAACATGGGCAAGCAGGACCTTGTTCGGCATCTGCCCAGTTTCCGCCTCCAGTCTTCCCGGGAGACAGTCCCCTTTTGCAACATTTCTCTCTTGGGGCCTGATCTTTTATTTTTTTCGGTGCTCCCTCACTTTCTCTCTGCAAAGCCGCTGTGCAGAAAGTGGTGGACCCGGAATCCGCCTTCTGACCTCTAATGCCCTCAGCTGGGGCACGGTGCATGGAAGACAGGGTACGGAGAAGACAGGGTGGGAGGTGAAGGAGACGGCAAGAAGGCCGCCGCTATATCCAAACAACCTGGCTCTCAATTTTTCTTTCTTTTTTTTTTTTTTTAAATCTATGCAGACTGAAAAAATGCAGACCACCGGGGCACTGCTCATTTCTCCGGCTCTGGTAAGCTGCGGCTCCGGGGTGCCCTGTAGTGCCATGTGTGGTGTGGGAGTCATCGGTGTTTAATGAATGGACTGAGAGGAGCATGGCGTTCTGATGATGTTGGCTCCTTGGGGAGGCTGTAGGATGTGAAACAGGTAACCCCTGTTTATTTGGGCCTATAAACCAAGCTATCTTGGCTTTGAAGTGTCCTCTGAGAGTTTAGATCCGACCTTTACCCTCAGTCTGGCTCAGCCATAGCCATAGCCAGACAGTCCACTAATTAGTGATTCTTCACTTTGCGCATTAGAATCTCCTGGGGGCTTTTAAAAATATTAATGCCCAGACTGCACCTTAGACCAATTGCACAGACTCTGGGAGGGGGGTAGAAACCCAGGATTTTTTTTTTTTTTTTTAGAACTTCCAGGTGATTTCAATGTTCAGCCAAGTCTGAGAACCAGTGCACTAAAGCATATTTTTTAAGAAGTGGTGTTACAGAGGGTTCTCCTTAGATGGCTATTCCAGGTGCCACACCATTGGAATTGGTAGCAATGGGTAGATTTTGACAAATATTCTTCCTCTGATTCCTTTGGTGATCTGGGTACAAACTCTTCTTGGACCTGGTTTGATATAAGTGTGCATTATTATTATATTCTGGGAAACTGAGGTTGTACATATAGAAGTGAACTTTGGCACATGTATTGTATTGTTTTGGTTTGAGTTTTAGTGCTGGGGATGGGACCCAGAACCCTGTACATGCTAACCATGTGTCATACAACTGAGCTGCACCTTAGCCTAGTACATGGTTCCAAATTGTGATGGTTGCCACTGCCAACTACACCAGGCTCTGGGGCAGCTCTGGTGTGGGCTTGCCTGGTAGAAACAGGAATAAATTACTTGACCTTGAAGTACATTGGATTTTATGACTTTGTAGTCATGTTTAGAGAAGCTCATCAATGAGGATTTTTTTTTTCTTGCCTGATTTGGAGACATATGTCTTTCTGATTTTTCAGATCCGCTGTAGTAGGGGTCTGATCAGGCCTGTGTCTGCCTCCTTCCTGAGTAGACTAGAGGACTCATCTAAACAGGTAAGGAAATAAGGCCCCTTTTAGAGATCTCCCCAGGCAGAGATCTTTCAGTTTGGTTTGCTTTTAGGCCTAAGGAGAACAATTAAAGGACTATGATGCTCTTAATAGTTCTGTTGCACCAAAAATGAGCATTGTAGGTTAGAAACTTGGAATAGTGGGGTGTGCTTAACCACAAAACTTCACTGGCCCTATCTGAATACAGACCCTAAGACTAATTCCCAGTGTACTTTCTGCATTCAGGATTCTGTACTTGTCAGTTTGCCAGCAGTTTCAGAGCTCAGGTGGGTGAGGTGTGGAGTAGAATCAGCCATCTGTCCCAATGCCATACTTTCCTTTCTTTCTCCTCCTTCTAGACTTCCTACAGCAGCAGCTCCCCACTCCAGGTGGCCAGACGGGAGTTCCAGACCAGTGTTGTCGCCCGGGACATTGACACAGCAGCCAAGTTCATTGGTGCTGGGGCTGCCACAGTTGGTGTAGCCGGATCAGGGGCTGGCATTGGAACTGTGTTTGGCAGCTTGATCATTGGCTATGCCAGGTAATTTTGAGGTGGCCCAAAGCATCTCCCACTGTAAGTTTCACCCTGTTTAGGCAAATCTTCAGTAAGAGGTGCTCCCTACTGGAGCCCTCAGTTTGATTTCATCTACCTCCCACTTTTTCCACTGACCTCTAAACCAGAATCTAAATATGTGTCCAGCCAGGTTGACTTGGACTCTCCAAATTGTTGCTTTATTTGCCTACCAAATTCCTGAGATCCCTGCAGGCTAGGCCCTCCCAGTCATAGCACACTCTTCACCTCATCCTCCTGTGCCCTCTACCCCTACCCACACTCATTTTTTTCCTCTCCCTGGGTTGGCATCTGTGTCTGTCCCTGGCAGGAACCCGTCTCTCAAGCAACAGCTCTTCTCCTATGCCATTCTGGGCTTTGCCCTGTCTGAAGCCATGGGGCTCTTCTGTTTGATGGTCGCCTTCCTCATCCTCTTCGCCATGTGAGGCTCCGTGGGGGTCACCCACAGGTCCCTGCTGCTTTGACTCCACTGGTGCTGGAGTGTGCTGAGCTGTACCATTAAACGATGTTTCTCTAAACCCATGCCTTTGTCTCTGTCCTTTGACCTTGGAGAGAACCTTGGTGGAAAGGTGGGAAGAGGGACTTGGGTCAGCTGTTGGTAATTAGGAAGTCCTTGGGGCTAGAGAAACCACTGCCACAACAGTGTCAACATGGAAAATTCTCATCTCACAGAGGAATGTGAATTTATCCAAATAATAATTGTACCTTTTCTTCAAATTAGTATATTAATATGTAACATTTTTGAGGGACTTAATTTGCATCAAGCTCTATACCAAGTAGTTTTGTCTGTTTCTTTTTGTTTTTGTACCAGAGATTGAACCCAGGGGTGCTTAACCACTGAGCCACATCCCTAGCCCATTTTATATTTAGAGACAGGATCTCACTGAGACTGGCTTTGAACTTGTGATCCTTCTGCCTCAGTCTGCCAAGCCCCTGGGGTTATAGGTACATGCCACCACTCCCAGCTTGTACTAAGTGTTACAACAACGGTTTTATGAATTATAAGCACACCCATTAAACCAGTTTCATAAATGAGAGACCCATGCTTAGAGAAGCAAAATAACTTGTCCAGAGTCACAGGGCTGATAAGAGGCAGAATCCCCAGTTCGCCCTAGGCCAGCCTGACTCTTTCATTATTAATTGGTTAGCTTTGCTTTTGGGGGTGGGTGGGAGGTGGTGCTGGGGATTGAACTCAGGGCTATTTTACCACTGAGCCACATCCCCAGCCCTTATTATTTTATGAGATTGGGTCCCACTAAGTTGCCTTGAGGTGGTCATCCTTTTGCCTTAGCTTCCCAAGTTGCTAGAATCACAGGCATACACCTCTGCACCCAGCAAGTAAGATATAACTAAACTGGATTGTTTGAGACAGAATCCCACTCTTGCCCTGGCTAGCCTGAACTCAGCCTTGGAAGTAACTAGGGCCATAGGTACATTCTTCCATGCCCAGCTAGCTCTTTTAAGCCCTAGCAGGAGTAAGCCATGGACAAAATAATGCAGAGGTGCTTGGGGACATGATTTGTGTTCAATTGGATGGTTTCAAAGAGAATGTACCTCAATTTACTGCAAAACTTCTGTGAAATAGTAAAACCAAGAACTTTTCTAATAATGTTAAGAACACCTTCCAAACTGGGCACAGTGGTGCATGCCTGTAATCACAGTGACTCAGGAGACTGAAGCAGAAGGATTGCAAATTTGAGGCCAGCTTTAGCAACTTAGACCCTGTCTCAAAATAAAAAGGACTAGGGTAAAGTGGTAGAGTGCCTCTAGGTTTAATTCCCAGTACCCAAAGAGTTAAAATACATAGAGAGACTAGGGATAACCAGGTGCAGTGGCACACGCCTGTAATCCTAGCAGCTCAGAAGGCTGAGGCAGAGAAGGATTGGGAGTTCTAAGCCAACCTTACCAAAAACAGTGTGCTAAGCAAGTCAGTGAGACCCTGTCTCTAAATAAAATGCAAAATAGGCCTGGGGATATGTCTCAGTGCCCCGGGTTCAATCCCCAGTACCCATCCCCCCGCCCCCCCCCCCAAAAAAAAAGACTGGATAGGGGTGTAGCTCAGTGGTAGATCTTGCTTGCATGTTTGTAGCATGTTACAAGGCCCTGGGTTCAATCCCTAGAACCCCCACCTCCCTGCCAAAAAAGTGGATTTAATGTACATGCAATTTAAAGATAGTCCTACAGGTACTTAGGCACTAAGCTGCTTCCTAGGGGATTTGGGGGAGGCAAAGAAATCTAAAAGGTTCTTGCTCTCTTGGGGCTGGAGATGTGGCTCAAGCGGTAGCGCGCTCGCCTGGCATGCGTGCGGCCTGGGTTCGATCCTCAGCACCACATACAAACAAAGATGTTGTATCTGCCGATAACTAAAAAATAAATATTAAAATTCTCTCTCTCTCTAAAAAAAAAAAAGGTTCTTGCTCTCAAGAATTTGGGGTCATTAACAGACTGGAAACAATGCCCTACATTATCAAATATGTGAGTACAGGAAGCTATGTGCCTATGGAAGTTTCAAAAGGAGAAATCAAGGAGGTCTGCATTAGGTGTAATAACATGGGCTGATATTTGAGCACTTTCCATGATTAACTTCACATTCCAATGAACAAGACGTTTGATAGAAAAATGGAGGGAAAGCTCAGAGAGGTGAGGCATCCTGCCTAAAGTCACACAGCTGGCTAGTAAAGCTAGGATTCAAACTCCAGAACCTGTTATTACTGTCTTGACTCATTTGACATTTGCCCAAGTTAAGTGACATGTCCAAGGTCATACAGCAGGCCAGCAATTCCATTCCAAGTCCATCTGACATTTAATCAACAATCATGGCCTTTCCACTTTAAGATTTCTCAACCTTGGCATATTTAGGGCCAGGAAATTCACTTTTGAAGGGGAAGTAGTCTCCTACACAATGCATGTTTAACAGCATCCCAGTTCTCTACCTACTAGATGTCAGTAGCAACTAACCCCACCCCCAGGTTGTGCAACCAATTAACAAATGTCAGATATTAACAGATGTCCCCTGGCTAAGAGGCAAATTCATACTCAGTGAGAACTAGTAGTCTATCAATCTACTGATTCTGTTGGCTTCTTCACCTTAAGTTACTCAAGTTTGCCTACAGAGCCCAGGAATCTCAAGGCCAAAGAGAAGGTATGGGACTGAGGTTAGAGTGGCAGCTGATGTGTCACCAAGGGAGCAATGGATGAACTGGTAATGCTGTTACACAAATGGAACACAATAACCCTTTGGGATATTACATTGGCATCATTTCGAGGTCACTTGCTCTGGAGGTAATCAAGGAACAGCCCCCAGGGAAGGCAACTGCCTTTTTGTTACTGTGGAGTGCCAGGAACCTATTTTTACCAAGAGTCCAGTAAAAATCTCCCTTTGGGATTCCAAACAGTCCTGGAATTCCTAGATCTAAAACCCAAATTGGGCCATGTGCATTGTCCCATGTCTGTAGTCCCAGCAACTTGGGAGACTAAGGAAGGAGGATCACAAGTTCAGGTCCGCCTCAGCCTAAGCGACTTAGTGAGACCCTGTCTCAAAAATAAATAGGGCTGGGGATGTGGCTCAGTGGTTAAGTGCCCCTGGGTTCAATCCCCCATACCAAAAAGTAAAATAAATGAAAAATAAGAAGATCTGGGGATGTAGCCCAGTGGTAAAGTGAAAGTGTCCCTGGGTTCAATTCACAGTACAAAAAAAAAAAAAAAAAAAATGGAAGTGTGGTTGGTAGGGTCAAGGAGTCCTTGGGGGTCAGAGAGGATACTCCCATATCCATAACATAGGTTCTTTATATAGCTTCTATGATCTACAGGTTGGTACATGGATGGGACCATTTTCCTTAGTACAAAATATTTGTAAGTGAATCCAGAAATGTATTGTTCTTGGGAGAGGGTCTTATTTTTATTCTTAGAGGGCAAAAACCAATTAGAAACCGGAGCTAGGATGTAGCTCAGTGGTAGAGTATTTTCCTAGCATGTGTGAGGCACTGGGTTCAATTCTCAGCACCACATAAAAATAAAAATAAGTAAAATAAAGGTATTGTCCATCTACAACTAAAAGAAAATTTTAAAAAATAATAATAATTAGAAACCACCACACAGTCACACCTGTGATCCCAACAACTTGTGATGCTGAGGCAGGAGGATCACAAATTCAAAGCTAGTCTGGACATCTAGTAGGTAGAGAATTGGGATGCTGCTAAGTCTGGACAACTTAGTGAGACGTTCTCTCAAAAATAAAAAAGGACTGGGGCCAGGCATGGTGGCACACATCTGTAATCCCAGCAGCTCAGGAGGCTGAGACAGGAGGATCGCGAGTTAAAAGCCAGACTCAGCTACAGCGAAGCACTAAGCAACTCAGTGAGATCCTGTCTCTAAATAAAATACAAAACAAGACGGGATGTGGCTCGGTAGCAGAGTGCCCCTGAGTTCAGTCCCTGGTACAAAAAAAAAAAAAAAAAAAATGTAGCTTAGTGGTACAGAATGTAGCTTAATGGTAAAGAATCCCTGGGCTCAATACTGCAACAACAAAAAAGAGTATTGAGGGACAGCAGTGATCTGAACTCCAGGACACTTGTCAATCTATCCTTTGGGGGAGAGCACTTGCCATGAGCAAGGTGCTACCAAATATTGTGGCACCAAGAGATGGCTCAATGCAGGGTAGGCTCAAGCTGGGGAGTAAAAGGAGGGTTTGATCCAGGTTCTTCGGGGAAGACTGCTCAGACATCAACCTTCAGAGGCCACAGGAGTTGCTCTAGGAAGCACACTACTGCCCTCTGGCCAAGTTGCCAATGGAGAGCAGCCAGGTGTTGCCTTGGAAAAGTCAGTGAGCACTAGAAGCGCTGCCAGCTTACCTTGCCCTCACTCTCTGGCCCTTCTTCTCCCTCAGCTTCAAGGCCCCAGATTAAAACTCCTATGGTAGGTGGTGAGCTGGTCCTTTAAGCAGCTGTGATCCCCTGTAGTCCTTCTCAGGCCTTGACTCACAGTTTTTTTGTGCAATTTTAGCTCTGGCCAAGGTAAATGCTCGATAAAAAGAAAATGGGCATCCCTGAGGAAGAGGAAGTAGAGGAAAAATCCTAAAAAGACCTGTGGCCAGGGGAAGGGCAACTGGCAACTATGTCCTTATTTCACTGAATGGCAGGCCCTAAAGATACAAAGATAGGTACCACTGCTTCCAGTCCTAGAGGAGGTCATTGAGTGGCCAGACAGATGAGTAACCAAATTACTAAAATAAAAAAAGTGGTATATGCTATAAGAAAGGTATGAGTAATCAGCTCTGAGAACCAAAGGAGGGAGTAATTAAAAATGACTAATTAATAATAATATGCCTAGAAGTGTTAAAGGCATATTAACATTAATGTATTCCAGCCAGCCTTGAAGGATAAGTAAGAATAATAAGAGTAAACAGTCATCGAGCATTTACCTTGGCCAGTCACTATGCCCATTCATTATCACATTATCCCTTTTTAGTAGCTACTGTTGTTTTCCCAGTTTTACTAAAGAGGAACTGAGGTTCAGAGAGGTTAAATAACTAGGATTTTCTTTGTACAGTAAAGGGAAGATTATTCCAAGTAGAAAAAAAAAAAAAAAAACAGGAACAAAGGGCGGGACACGATGGTGCACACCTGTAATCCCAGTGGCTCAAGAGGCTGAGGCAGGAGGGCCACAAGTTCAAGGCCAGCCTCAGCAATTTAGCAAGGCCCTAAGTAACTCAGCGAGACCCTGTCTCTAAATAAAATATAAAAAAGGGCTGGGGGGCTGGGGATGTGGCTCAAGCGGTAGCACACTCGCCTGGCATGCATGCGACCCAGGTCCGATCCTCAGCACCACATACAAAGATGTTGTGTCCGCCGAAAACTAAAAAATAAATATTAAAAAATTCTCTCTCTCTCTTTCTCTCTCAAAAAAAAAGGGGGGGGGGAGGCGCTGGGGATGTGGCTCAGTGGTTAAGCGCCCTAAGGTTCAATCTTTGGTACCAAAAAAAAAAAAAAGGAACAAAGGCTCAGTAAAGAGAAAGGAGCTGGACAGGTGAAGGTGTCAGTTATTTGTGTAGTGCTTGCCACTTGTCAAAGCACTTCTGGAAATGTCACACTTAATTGTTAGGAAAACCTTGAGAGGTAGGAATTATCACCATTGTATAGATGCAACAACAGGCTGCAAAGAAAGAAAGAGTATGGTTCAGATTAAAAACTTGAACCTCTTTTTTCTGAATCTGTTTGTTATGCCTCATCACTACCACACCTTGCAGTTGAAAACAATGGTGCAGCAGTGAGGAGACACACTGAGGGATCAATCCTCTCACACTACAGGCCATCTTTGGGCATCTGCAGTCTGTAGCCATGAAAGAGCTATGGTATATTTTTATTTGTTTTCTTTCTATTTTGTACCAGGGATTGAACCCTGGGGCGCTTAACCACAAAGACAGTCTCCAGCCCTTTTTGAGACAGGGTTTTGCTAAACTGCTTAGGACCTTGCTAAACTGATGAGGCTGGCTTTGAACTTGAGATCCTCCTGCCTCAACCTCCCAAATCACTGGCATTACAAGCATGCACCACTGCGCCTGCTACGGAGTGTTTTTTTGTGGCACTAGTGATTGAACCCAGGGGCGTTCATCGCTGGGGCTACATCCCCAGCCCTTTTAATTTTTTTTATTTTGACACAGAGTCTGGCTAAGATGCTAATACTGGACTCAAAATTTATGATCCTCCTGTTCCAGCCTCCCAAATACAGGGATTACAGGTTTGCACCACTGTACCCAACTGGTTTTATTTACTTTTAAAGGAGTTCAGAACTGAACAGTGGCCCGTATCTGTAATCCCAATGATTTTGGAGGCTGAGGCAGAAGAATTCCAAGTCTGCCAAAGTGCAGTGTGTAATCCCAGGGGTTCTGGAGGCTGAGGCAGGAAGATCAAGAGTTCAAAGCCAGCCTCAGCAATGGAAAGTCGCTAAGCAATTCAGTGAGACCCTGTCTCTAAATAAAATACAAAACAGGTCTGGGGAAGTGGCTCAGAGGTTGAGTGCCCCTGAGTGCAATCCCCAGTACCATTAAAAAAAAAAAGAAGAAGGATTACAAACGTGAGGTTAACCTGGGCAATTTAGTGAGAACTGTTTCAAAATAAAAAATAAAAAGGGCAGGGGAAGTAGATGTAGCTCTTTGGTAGAGGACCCCTGAGGTTCAGTCCTCATTACCACGACCAAAAAAAAAAAAAAAAAAAAAAGTGAATAAACCATATCATTTCAATAGGCATAGATGCACAGCACAACATTCAAAAGGTATGAGAAGGTATATTTCCTTTGACCCAATTTGTCAGCAACCACACCATTCAGAGGCAACCACTGTTGGTAGTTTCTTTTGTATTTTTTTACTAATATTCTGGCATCTTTATTACAGTGATAAAATGTTATACCAAAAAAACATAAAATCTGTATAAACTAGTATATTGGTTCATTTTACTTCATTAGGTACTTAGGATTAAGTACCTAAGTTATTTCAAGCCTGGTACTGGGTTCATGGATAACAAACACATGGCTTAGAGCCTCAAAGATGTGTGTATATGATGGGGGTGGAGAGTGATATGAGGCAAAGAACACCAAAGGACCATAAGTAGTACAAGGTAAAATATAGTAAATGTGGAAGAGTTCCAAGTAGTGACAATGTCACATAGCAGTTTGAATTTGTTTTCTGGAGTCAGACAAATTTGGCCTAGAGCCCCAGTCATTATGCCACTTGCTCTCAGAGTAACCTGTGTAAGTGACTGAACTTCAGTAAGCCTCTGTTTTTCCATCTGTCAGAACAGACTAATAATAGTCCTTACATCATAGGGTTGGTAAAAGAAATAAGACAAAGCAGATAAAGAACCTGACATTGAGCTGGGGTTGTGGCTCAGTGGCAGAGCACTTGCCTAGTATGTGTGAAGCACTGGGTTCGATTCTCAGCATCTCATATGAAAAAATGAATAAAATAAAGGTCCATCAACATCTAAAAATAAATAAATAAGAACCTGACATTAAGCATTCAATAATGTAAAAAATAATTTTTTACCTCTCAGTAAATATTGGCCATCAATATTCTGGTCCACAGTCCATTATTGGAAATTAGCAATACTCTGAAAAGCAGATTAAAAAAAATTGGCAGCAAACTCCAAAGTGAGGCTAATAATCTTAACATTCGAATATGTACCCAAACAAGTATGACCTTTCTACACTTCACTGCAGAAATATCAGGGTATTTGTTTACTGGGTGCTGCCCCACGCCTCCTAAGTATCTCACTTTAAATTTCTGAAACAACATCTGGCACTTCTGGTTTCCAAACATTATGAGTATGTATGTATGTATTATTAATTAATTAATTTTTGGAAGGCCTGTTTTTCTTAGTCCATAGGATTATTTCTTAAGGAATCCTCGAATGATTTATTCAGTTCTTGATTCCTGCAGATTAAAGGATTTCTTGGGAAGAAAAAGTGCTGAGTTTAGGAGTCAGGCCCGATTTTCCTTCCTTTTTACCAAGCTCCTCTAGGTCTGTTTCATTATCCCCAGGGCAATGCCTAGTAACAGTGTGTGGCCTTTAGTAGGTCCTTCATAAATATGCTGAATAAACTGAAACGAGGTGGCTTTTCATTCGTAGGTTCTGATTCCGTGCTCTCCAGGTTCTGCCCTAGGCAGGGGGCAATGGTAGCCTGCCCTTGGTGGACGACCGCGCTGGGAGCGAGGATCAATCACAGAGCCTCTCGGACTGGAAGGACGCTAAGGGAGTCAACTCCTTCAGTCCTATAGGATAACAGGATCCCTAGTCCTACCCCTGGGACATGTCTGAGGGAGGGTCGCTCTAGTTAAGAGAGGATACGGCTTTCCTCACCCTCGCCTTTTAACTTCTTCTCCCCTTTCCACACTCAAAAAATGAAACATTCCACGGAGCTAAGCTCTCAGCTCCTCCCGCAAGGCGCAGTCCTAGCGCGGGCCCAGAACCCTCACTGGCCCGCTAGTTCCCCCTCCCCCGCCTGGAGGACCGTAGGTGGACGCTCTTGCAGAGCGCCTCTCGCTGGTCGGGGCGGGGGTGGGAGGAGCCAGCGCCGCCCAGGCTAGGGAAGCAGAGGGTGGGGACACTCTGGCCCGGCTCTCGGTGGTGCGGCAGCGGGCGGGAGCAGCGGCCGCTCTGGTCGGCGGACGTGCTGCCGAGCAGTCCCGGAAGCGAAGCAGCGATGGCGGAGAGTCCGACTGAAGAGGCGGCGACGGCGACGGCGGGTGCCGGAGCGGCGGGCCCCGGGGCAAGCGGCGTTGCTGGTGTGGTCGGTGTTAGCGGTAGCGGCGGCGGGTTCGGGCCGCCTTTCCTGCCGGATGTGTGGGCGGCGGCGGCGGCGGCGGGCGGGGCCGGGGGGCCGGGGAGCGGCCTGGCTCCGCTGCCCGGGCTCCCGCCCTCTGCCGCTGCCCACGGGGCCGCGCTGCTTAGCCACTGGGACCCCACGCTCAGCTCTGACTGGGACGGCGAACGAACCGCGCCGCAGTGTCTACTCCGAATCAAGCGGTGAGCCGGGGTTTTTCCTCCCCCAGCCCCGAGTTCCGGGGCTCGACCTTCCCTGCCCCCCACCGTTCCTCACTACAGCTCACCCCCGCGGCCCTGTTCCCAGCCCAAATATTGCCAGCCCAGTGCGCCGGGGTCCTAGTCACTTCTTCCCCTTCCCACCCCGCCCCCAGCACCACAAGCCCTAAATCCCTTCTCGTTAGCCCAGGTCGACCCCGCCCCTCGGCAACCTCCGGTGAGCCCTCAGGCTCTGTTCCGGACACCCTCCCCCACACCCCTACCTCCCGCCCGAAACCCGACCCCTTCGCGCTTCAGTAACACCCCCTCCCGCCCTCCGCGCCGCCCCTCTTCCCTCTTCCCCTCCTCACACTACCTAGATGCAGCCCGCAGGCCCCACCCATCGGTCCCCCCTGGTCTCTTTTAGAGCCGGGTTTGTAACGCACACTCTGCTTGCTTTGCCCTGCGGTACACTCGAGCTAGCCTTGGTTTTACCCTCCGTTTCCTCAAATCCCCACCACAAAGTCCCTTTCCTTGGGCTAAATCGCTGCCCTCACTCTCCCAGATCTTCCCTTTAACCCCTTTTCTGGTATTCCAAAGCTGTCCACTCTCTCACCTGTTCCCGAAACTCAGGTTCCCTTTCCCTCAGTGTCACTCTGGATTGTAATAGCCCATTCAGAACCTTCTTTCTTGTATTCCCCCACACTCTGCCGGCGTCTTCTGGTTAACTTTTGTGAAGTGGATGTACTCAATTTAAATATAGGAACAAAGGCCTAAGTCCTTTCTGTACTTACTTGTTGGGTGACTGAACTTAGATCATATCATTTAGTAGGTAATACGTTTTGCAAAAATGTTTAGTGTAGTACTTATCAAATGGGAAAAGAGTAGTACTACCAGTATTAAAATGTTTCCTCATGACCAGACTGATCCCATTCCCCCATGACAGAATCCTCATCTAGGTATTATCTCCCACGTTTCAAGTTTCTTAATATGTCTCTCTACCTACTTTTCAAGGTTGTAATGAAAATTAAACATTACAATGTGTGTAAAGTACCTGGCACAGTGCCTGACACAGGATGCCAACTATTGCCATCTCTAACTCAAACTCAGCACTCAACTCTGACATTCCTTCAGCCATTCCTGGTACGCCTTTGAGTTTAGCCCATACTTCTTTGGCTCTGATCTGTCACCTTTTTACACTTTTTATGCCCCTACCCACCCTAGCAAGTCCCTAGATATTTCCTCATATAGAATGGTCTTTTTTTTCCTTCGGCCTGTTGGTCTCAACTGTTCCATTCCTATTGGTGGTATGACCTAGAAGTTCTCTCATCTGTAGTAGTCACCATGTGTTATCTTCCAGATGTGAGATTCTAACTATATCAGAGGGTCCCCCTCCCCAGCCTGAAAAGATCTCTACCCTATTAGTCTCTTGGGCAAGAAGATCACTGATAATCTTGCTTTCTGTGGCTTGCTTGTTCATAAAATTACCTTGCCAATGAGGGGTCCACTGTATGGTTTATGGAATTAGTTTTTTAGTGGAGTTAATTATGCCTTCCCAGTTACTAAAAACGATCCTTATTTTGCATTCCGTATAGTACCTGGGAATCTTGGAGGTGGGAAGTGAATGAGTTGTCATGTGGGAGGAAGTGAGAGTAAATGGGATGTGGCTTTTCCAAGGTGATATCTGATGCCATTGGGATCTCTGATTTTTCTCCCCAACTCTTCTTACCCTCCCCCTAAGGAAACAATGCCCCTTTGATAATAATTTGCTGTCTGCCTGCCTGACAAGTACTGAAATTTCTCAGCCAACAAGGCAGTACAAACATTTGTGGTACCCAGTACCACTTTCTCCAACCTGGGCTTCAATGAGGTGATAACAGCTGTCCTGCTCAGGGGATTCCCTTTTTCCCTCTTCCCTCACTCCTTCCCCTACCTCCTCTTGGTGTTATACAGGGATATCATGTCCATTTATAAGGAGCCTCCTCCAGGAATGTTCGTTGTACCTGATACTGTTGACATGACTAAGGTATGTAACTTGATGGGGGGTTGGGGGTTATTGGGAAATGGGGCCCATGACGTTGGAAGAACCTAAAAGAGATTATTCAGCTTACCCCTCTGGTTATAAATGAAGAAATCAAGACCCCAAGAAGATAGGTGGGTTGTCTGAAGTCATATAATGAGGTAGAACAGATCCTTGAGCAGGTATCTGTTATCGGGATGCACATAAAAACTAGCTGGCTTGCAAAATCCTGGTTTATGCCTATTGTCCCAGCTTAACTATTAATAGGCCACTCTTTCCCTCTTAAAATGTTCTAGTCAGGCTGATAAATTATATGATCACCCTATCCATTGTACTACACATACTACACAGCTCTTTTCTGATCTTGCCTCTCTTGACTTACCTGTGGTAATGTAAATCAGATCCAGGGAAAGTTGGGGATAGGGTCAGCTTGGCTGAAGTGTTTGTGGTAAAAGGGCCTTTTTTAGATGCCTATCCTTATTGGTTGTTGTTGAATGTCCCTACTACCCAAAGACCATTCCTCTCATCCTCCACACAGATAGAAAGCTTAATACATAATGTCTAAAATTCCTCTGGCATAGATACCCAGGTTTCTCTTATTGAATGCTCTGACCTCAGGAGTGAATTCTCACGTAAACTGATGTTGGGAAAAAATGAGATTGATTAAATCTAGTGTTAAGTGAAAACAGTTTCAAATTTCTTAAAGTAGAAATTCACTTTTTATATTGTTGGTATATTCTTATTTTGAATAAGCTACCCTTTAACTTGATTTTTTTTTTTTTTATGTGATTGGGAATGTATTTCCTGGGACATCTTGTCTCCAGTCAAATATTAGTGTTAATATGTTGTTTCCTAGGGGTCCCAGAATTGATGCCATGTTGAAATCAGTTGAGTTTGCTATTCCAAATGATTGGGGGCTAGAATATAACCCAAGGTGTTACCAGGGAAAGAAAGGGACTGCAGCTTGAGGCATGGGATTGATTGCAAGGTCCTTTTCCTCTTTGCTGTTTGAATTCTGAGCAGACTTTAGGAACTTTTGAAATTGAAATATAACTGAGTCAGTTTAGGTTTTCCTGCCTTTAAGAAGGAAAATAATGTTCAACAATTAGGGCTTAAGGAAGAAGAGAATTTAGTGTTCTGTTTAAGGAATGCTAATTTTATTTATTTATTATTTTTTTAACCAGCAGTGTTAGGGAAAGTTCTGGGAATGGTCTAATGGTCCTGAGTGGAAGCTGAGTTTTTCCCATTTTTCTCAGGTGTATGCTGCCTCAGTCACATCCTCCAAAGTAGGTTTGATCCTCTGTGGAGGAAGCAAGTAGACAACTTAGATATCATTGTAATCCTCAGGTTTACACTGGCACTGGTGCTGTGGCCTCCATTTCCTTTCCTCTTTTCCATTCATCATACCTCCCCTTCATGCAACATACATGTGGGGTGGAGTTGCATCATATGCATATTTAATCTAGGTAAATGCAAACATACATACTCAATAAAAATATGTATGGCTTTCTTTAAAATGCTAACATTACATTTTACAGACCCATATTATATTTTTTTACATTGATATTTTGTCCATTTGTTGTATGTAAAATTGATAAGGGATGTCCCTAGAAAAACCATGTTTTGCTGGGCATCGTGGTACCAGCCTGTAATTCCAATGGCTTGGGACGCTGAGTCAAAATGATTGCAAGTTTAAAGCCAGCCTCAGCAATGGTGAGGCACTAAGCAGTCTCTAAATAAAATACAAAATAGGACTAGGGATGTGACTCAGTGGTAGAGTGCCCCTGAGTTCAATCCCTGGTAACCCCCCACCCCCCCCCAAAAAAAAAAAAAAAAAAGGCCTGGGGATGTGGCTCAGTGGTTAAGTCCCCCTAGGTTCAATCCCTGGTAACAAAAACTGTGCTTTAAGGGAGGGATACTAGGGGTGGTTTTTGAATAGATTCAGTTTTCACCTTGGGCTCTTAACTTTAGAACATGACCACTGACTCAGATGCTGCTCCATTATAATGTGATTTTTTAAAAAAATTTCAATCTGTATGTGAATACAGGATGTTCATTCTGCATAGTGAGGATATGGAATATGGACACCAGACTATGAGCCCTGCTTCTGCCAGGGGTAGCAGGTGGAAGCCAGGAGGGGTTGGGGTCGGGCATCACCTCACAATTTTGAGATGGGGTTTTATTTTGCAGATTCATGCATTGATCACAGGCCCATTTGACACTCCTTATGAAGGGGGTTTCTTCCTGTTCGTGTTTCGGTGTCCGCCCGACTATCCCATCCACCCACCTCGGGTCAAACTGATGACAACGGGCAATAACACAGTGAGGTTTAACCCCAACTTCTACCGCAATGGGAAAGTCTGCTTGAGTATTCTAGGGTAAGAGGAGACTTCTAAGTGGCCAAGTTGGTTGTTAGAAAATAATTACTGTAGGGACACCCTTTATCAATTCTCCCAAGAGTGGTAACATCACTGGTGTTATACCAGATACAAAGGAGGGAAGTTAAATTATTACATACAAAAGGGATTTCTTATGAAATGGTTCTCAAAGCATGGTCCCTGAGCCACAGCAACAGCATCTGCAGATTCAGGGCCCCACCCCAGATCTACTCTTATCAGGAACTCTTGGGTGGGGCTAGCAGTCTGTTGCATCCTCTAGTTTGAGAACCACTCCTTTAGGGGACTAGGGCCCTATTCTGAGAAAGGCTGCAGATCTGTGCCATTCATGATTGTGGATGTCTTTCTTGAGTCTTTCAACGAGTGGCTTTGGAGACAGCAGTGGTGGTGATAATGGTTATAATTTAACAATTGAATGAAAATGTCTGACATTGAAACTCATGTCACATATGAAATAAAACTATATCTTCCTGAAGATTTTGCTTCATGGAGTTCCCATTTATTCCACCCTATTGCCTTTGTGAGTTAAAAGCTCAGAATGAAAATGACTTCTAGCATATTGTGGGTTGGTCTTTTTGTTGTGGTCTGAACTTTTCTGGAGTGGACAACAAATATAGGTTGAAGGTTGAGAAAGTTGTCTAAACTGGTGATCCTTTTTTCTTTATTCCTGTCAAGACATTTCCAGGTTTGTGTGGGGTTTAAAAGGAAGCTGAAGCATACTGAAGATATGATTCGTTTTTCTAGATAGAACTTTCCCAACTCCAGGGATATGTTCTGCTGTGATTATGGCAGTGTGACAGTCCTTTAAATGAGGTTGTCCTTAAAGAAGTTATTTTATTAAAGTACATAATTGTCTGCACTTGTGGAGTGGTTGAGCATGTGTGTGTGTGTGTCTATGTATTACCCCCATGGTGGAAAGGAAATTTAGTCATAAAATTTGTTCATGAAAGTGTGTTGTAATAAGTTCTCCCTCATTAGGCCAATATGAAGCTCCTTGGGCAGACACCAGCTCACAAGAGAAACAGGGAAAGTAAAGTGGTAGGGTGAAAGCAGCAGAATTGTGTTGTGTGGAAAAAGAGAAGTTACCCTGAAATTGAAATTTTGCCAAGCCAGACACGGTGGTACACACCTGTAATTCCAGATCCTCAGAAGGCAGAGGCTGAGGCTGGAGGATCGTGAGTTCAAGGCCAGCCTTGGCAACTTAGAACATGTTTCAAAAGTTTAAAAAATTTTAAAAGGTCTGAGGGAGGGTATAGTTCAGTGGTAGAGCACCACTAAGTTCAACCCCTTTACTGTTAAAAAAGAAAGAAAGAAAGAGGGGCTTGGGTTGTGGCTCTTGCAGAGTGCTTGCCTGGCACATGTGCAGCACTGGGTTTGATTCTCAGCACCACATAAAAATAAATAAGTAAATAAAGGCATTGTGTCCATTTACAACTATATATATATATTTTTTTTAAAGAAATTTTGCTATGAAGAATCAGAGTCAAAAATCCCTACATGTTCTTAATTGACTATATTATCATCAGCCTCATTGCTTCCCTCCCTACCTAGAAAAAATACTGGGCCGACCAAAAAAAGGGGGCAGTGAGAGTTGACCCTATTGATTTGAATTCCCAAAATGTAAAGTCATGGAGAGCGGGGGTAGAGTTCCTGGGGGAGCAGATCTAGAAAGAGCAGGTTGGAAGCGCTTAAGAGCAGCCTCCAATGAACTTACAATTGCTTGTAAGTAACTTAGGCCTTCTTTGCTTGTAGCAGGGAAAGGACAGTGGCTGGTTAACTTGAATAAGCCAGTCCTGGCTGAGGTTTTGTTCAGCTTTCAGCTCCAGTGCCATCTTGTCAATAGAGCTAAAATTAAATGTTATTAACTGACTTCTTAATACTTGATTAGGTTTATAAAAGGAGCAGCTTTGGTATTTATCTTCATGTTCAAGTTGTTTTCTACATATATCCCTTTTTTCTTCCTCCTCTGGCAGTCTCATGTGGTCTTCAGAACACTCATTGAGGGCTTGGTACAGAACTCTATCCCTGATCATCAGTCCTACCATATGGCCTCTAACCAGATGGTTTTAGTCACCTGTGTGCTTCTTTGCTCAATTGCTTTCCCCTCACTGACTCAGCCGTTACCTATAAATAAATAAATAAGCAAGTTTTTTGTGGTCCACAGAGATTAGCATTTAGACACCTTTAGAGTTATTTTCTTAACTTCTTTCATTTTGATATGGTAGCTTTTCCTGGCTACAGTTTCCTTTCTAGCCCAAAGTTACCTTCTTGCTTTTTTACCCTCTTCTTCTGTCCCACTTGATATGAGGATTAGACAGTTCACTGATTTTTAGTGAATGAGGTTGAGAAAGAGGCTAGGAATTTCCAGAATATTGATAGTGAAACAGAAACTTATGGTGAGTCACTACCATGGTGCTGCTGCTGTCAGTGTTCCCTGATTATTCTCTGCCTTACCCTTTTCCTCTGCTGTGTTTGCAGTACATGGACTGGCCCTGCCTGGAGCCCAGCCCAGAGCATCTCTTCTGTGCTCATCTCTATCCAGTCCTTGATGACCGAGAACCCCTACCACAATGAACCTGGCTTTGAACAGGTAAGACTAGGTGGGCCCAACCCTGGGGTATGCTATATTGGATGTTCTGAGAAGCTAGGCATGGTGGAATACACCTGTTATCCCATCTGAGGGAACTGGTGAGACTTTGTCTAAAATTAAAAATGTAGCCAGGCATGGTGAAACAGGACTATAATCCTAGTTGTGAGGCTGAGGCAGGAGGATTGGAAGTTTAAGGCTAGCCTCAGCAATTTAGCAGGGCCTTAAGTAACTTAGTGAGACCCTGTCTCAAAATTAAACATAAAAAATTCTGAGGATGGGGCTGGGGTTGTGGCTCAGCGGTAGAGCGCTCACCTAGCATGTGCAAGGCCCTGAGTTCAATCCTTAGCACCACATAATAATAAATAAAACAAAGGGATTGTGTCCAACTACAACTGAAAACTAAATATTAAAAAAAAATTCTGAAAAAAAAAATTCTGAGGATGGGCTGGAGTTGTGGCTCAGTGGTAGAGCACTTGCCTTGAATATGTGAGGCACTGGGTTCGATTCTAAATACCACTTGTAAATTTTAAAAAAAGGTCAATCAACAACTAAAATGAATAAGTAAATAAAATAAAAAAAAAATTCTGAGGATATGGCTTAGTGGTTAAGCACCCATTGGTTCAGTCTCCCGTACCTAAAAATGTAAAAGACTAGGAATGTTGGTCAATGGTAGAGCACTTGCCTAGCATGTAAAAGCCCAGGGTTTAATCCCTAGTACCAGAAAAAAATAAGTTATTTGAGAAATCTTGTCTTTTCCCTCTCTCTTTTTACCTGGTATGACTCTATGAATTGTACTTGTCATGGAAAGAGAAAAAGGGAGTTAACATGTATGTTCCTTAAGAATGAATTATTTCATTTGTAAGAATTACAGTGATAGGGGCTGGGGTTTGGGGCTCAATGGCAGAGCGCCTGCCTTGCACATGTGAGGCAGTGGGTTTGATCCTCGGCACCACATAAAAATCAGTAAACAAAATAAAGATATTATGTCCATCTATAACTAAAAAGTACTTTAAAAAAATTACTGTTGGGGCTGGGGATGTGGCTCAAGTGATAGCGTGCTTGCCTGGCATGCGTGCGGCCCAGGTTCTATCCTTGGCACCACATACAAACAAAGATGTTGTATCCACTGAAAACTAAAAAATAAATATTAAAAAAAAAAATTCTCTCTCTTTCTCTCTCTCTCTCTCTTAAAAAAAAAGAAAAGAAAAAGAAATTGGAGATTATCAGGGATTTAATAAAGAACCACGAACCTTTTTAAAAAAAAAAATTACTGTGATACTGTTAAGTATTTGACTTGTATTAGTCTACACAGTGGAAGTCAGAGGAGTCGTTTAGAATTAATTCTGAGCCTACTTTGGGGGCTGTTAAAGCCAGTGGATTATTCAGTATACCTAATTCTGCAGCATCCCCTTAAGGTACTCCTGAGTGACTACTGCCAAACCAGATGTTATTCTGGAATTTTGAAGTACTATTACCTGTGGGGCCAAAAGAGCTAATCATTAGTTAAGACAAGAATTTTAGCCAGGCGTGGTGGCACAAGTCTATAATTCCAGCAGCTCGGAAGGCTGAAACAGAAATATTAACTTGGCAACTTTTTTTTTTTTTAAATATTTATTTTTTAGTTTTTTTGGCAGACACAACATCTTTGTTTGTATGTGGTGCTGAGGATCGAACCCAGGCCGCACGCATGCCAGGCGAGCGCGCTACCGCTTGAGCCACATCCCCAGCCCCATGAAACAGAAATAAAGCCAGCCTCATCGATGGGGAGGTGCTAAGCCACTCAGTGAAATCCTATCTTTAAATAAAATACAAAATAGGGCTGGGTCTGTGGCTCAGTGGTGGTGCCCCTGAGTTCAATCCCTGGTACTATCCACCGCACCCCTACCCCCACCAAAAAAAAAAAAAAGGACAAAAATTTTTGTCAGCACTGCTAAAGAGAAGGCAGAAAACACATTTTCCAAGGGTTTGCTGTTTGCTAGACACTCCCAAGATTTTTTATATAATTTCTTGTTTAATAGCTTTCGTTTTTATTTCTGTGTGTGTGTACATGTGCACGTGTATGCACATGTGTATTTGGAGCTGGGGATCTAACCCAGGGCCTTGTGCATTTTAGGCAAGTAGTTGTTTAAATTTCGTGGTAACTCTGAGGCATGTATTCTTTCCATTTTCAAGTCAAGTAATAGTGGCTCAGAGAGATCATTTAACTATCACAAGGACACAAATCTGTGTAGGACTCAAAATTTACACTCAAGCCCAAATTCTGACTCTGTTCATTTACTCATGAACACAGGAAAAAAGTTCCAGTTATGTTCTTAAAAGAAAATAATTCCATTTCAGTGATTAAAATAGTTTTTGATTTTTTTTTTTAATAACTATTTTTGGTGCTGGAAATCAAACCCAGAGCCTCGAATTAGTAGCATGTCCTCTACAACTGATCCACACCCCAGCCATTAAAACAGAGATCACAGAGACCTGAACAAAAAGGAATAAATTCCCTTTAAGAATGAAGAAAAACTGGGGCTGGGGTTGTGGCTCAGCAAGAGAACTCTCGGCCAGCAGGGCGCTGGGTTCGATCCTCAGCACCACATAAAAATAAATAAAATGAAGACCCCATCTCTAAATAAAATATAAAAAGGGCTGGGGATGGGCTCAGTGGTTGAGTGCCCCTGGGTTCAATCCCCGACACACACACACACACACAAAAAAAATCTTTGCCCCTTTGATTTTGCAGTAGAGCAGTTTAGAAACCACCATAGTAGGCTGAAGGTATATGTCACTTTCCTAGTCATCATGTTTTTATCAGAGTCCTAGACTCTAATTAGGAAGGGACAGGGAAAAGTCTTGAAAATCAAAGAAAGAGCCAAGCACAGTGGTGTACATGCCTGTAATCCCAGTGGCCCCAGAAGGCTGAAGCAGGAGGATTACAAATTCAAAGTCAGCCTCAGCAACTTATCGAGGTCCTAGGTAACTTAGTGAGATCCGGACTCAACATAAAAAGAGATTGGCTCAGTAGTGGAGTGTCCCTGGTTCAATCCCAGGTACCAAAAATAATTAAAGGAAAAGAGGCCCTGTTCTCTTTCGTTAGCACTTAGACATTCATAGAAGCTTTCTGGGCCAAATTTGAAGTTTGTCAAAATCTCAATTTTATTCCTGATACATTTATTATAATAGAGGGTTCAATGATGGTGGAACCCTACGGACAGGGAAAGGAGTTAACCAGAAGTATCCTTCACTGGTTAATCCCTAAAGGTTTTCCACACTGAGACTTCTAATGTCATCTTTTCTGTCCCACCATTATTTCATTTCTATTATTTATTTATTTATTTGGTATCAGGGATTGAACCTAAGGGCATTTTACCACTGAACCACATCTACAGCCCACCCACCCCCCTTTTTTTTTAGAGATACACATAAGAGTTCATTTGTCAGAGCTAACAAATAAAGGCCATCTCTCCATAGACGGAGAGAGGCAACACAGGCTTGGGGTTCCAGACTTTTATGGGGGAGGATCAGGCATTAAAGCTGGTTGAGTCCTAATGTGGGCAGTTAAGCATCTCTAGCCCTTTTTATTTTTAATTTTGAGAAAGGGTCTCACTAAGTAGTGTAGAACCTTGCTAAGTTGCTGAGGCTGGCTTAATACCATCCTCAGCTTCCCAAGCTGCTGGGATTATACCATGTCTGGCTTTTGGCTGGGTGGGGCATAGGAAGGTAGGTTTGTTGTTTTGGTGGTGTACTGACTTAAACATGCTAAGCAAGTACTCAACCCTGAGCCACTCAATCCAGCAATCACTGTTATTACTACATGTGGTTATTTCTCACTTAATTCTTTCTTCATGGTCTTTTTGCTTTGGGTTTAGGAATATTTGATAGATCTAGTTTACTGATTATAGGACCTAGTTTTCTTTATCAGGATGGGTATTGGTATACATGGAGAATATCTCAAAGGGTTAAGCCAGGCACAGTGGTGTATACCTATAATCCCAGCAATTCTGGAGCTTGAATTAGGAGGATCACAAGATTGAGGCTGGTCTTGGAAATTTAGGGAGACCCTGCCTCAAAAATTACACCTGTAATCCCAGTAGCTCAGGAGGCTGAGGCAGGAGGATTGCAAGTACAAAGCCAGCCTCAGCAACAGTGCTAAGCAACTCAGTGAGACCCTGTCTCTAAATAAAATGCAAAATAGGGCTGGGGATATGGCTCAATGGTTGAGTGCCCCTGGGTTCAATCCCTAGTACCAAAAAAAGAGAAAAGAAAAACAAATTAAAAAGGACTTGGGGTGTAGCTCAGTGGTAGAGCACTCCTGGGTTTGATCCCTAATGCGAAAAAATAAAAATACAAACAAAAGTTTAGTTGTTCTTCATGGACCTGCATTTTAAAAGATATCTTCTTAGTTCACTTGCTTGGTTCATTTACCCATACTAATCCCAATATCTCTTCTCATTGACTATGACTAAAATTTGTATTTGGTTACTGATATTTGTCAAATTACAGGAGAGACATCCAGGAGACAGCAAAAACTACAATGAATGTATCCGACACGAGACCATCAGAGTTGCAGTCTGTGACATGATGGAAGGAAAGTGTCCCTGCCCTGAACCCCTAAGGTATGTGTCAAAAGGGCTGACTGGGCATTCATTCCTCTTTTGGGTATTTAGATGGTTTGTACATTTGAGGACCTTTGGGGCAGAGTCCATGTTGAGAGAGAGAGGAAAAGGAAGAAAAGATGGGGCTCATGTTTTTAAAAAACAACTAGTTGCAAGTTACCCATGAGAAAGTTCAGAGTTTCTCAGTTCTTCTAGAGTGCCAAGTTGGGTAGGAAAGGCAGTCTGCGCCTTCAAGGAGCCCCCCCCCCTTTTTTTTGTAGTTGTAGTTATACAGAATGTGCCTTTATTTTATTTGTTTATTTTTATGTGGTGCTGAGGATCAAACCCAGTGCCTCACGCATGCTAGACAAGCGCTCTACCACTGAGCCACAGCCCTCCAGACAAAGGAGCCCAATTTTAATGAAGGCTTGAACATATAACTGTTCTATAAGCAAGAGAGGTATGGTTATAAAACACTTCATAGTAAAGCTATTTTTTAGTGTTCAAGTTTATTCCTAAGTGCTAAAACTAAACGAAAAAAATTAATTTTTGAGAGGATTTTGAGTAAGATTTGGGATTAAGTCTGGCCTATGGAAACATAAAGATTGAAAATGTAACAAGTTGTTCTGGGCATGGTGGCACATCCTTGTTATACCAGTGGCTCAGGAGGCTGAGGCAGGAGGGTCGCAAAAAGCCAACCTCAGCAACATCAAGGCACTAAGATCTATGTGGGAAATCAAACCCAGTCTTGGGAATTCTAGCTATTTAATTTGGTATTAAGATTAGGTAGTGAGCCAGGTGCAGTGCTGCACATCTGAAGTCCTAGCAGCTTGGGAGGCTGAGGCAGGAGGATCACAAGTTCAAAGCTAGCCTTAGCAATTTAGAAAGGTTCTGAGTAATTTATTAAGACCCTTTCTCAGAAGAGGGTTGGGGATGTAGCTCAGAGGGTAAGCATCCCTGGATTCAGTTACTGGTACAAAAAAAGATTAGGCCACAAAAGGGGACCTATACCTCTAGTTTCTAACTTCTGTACTTGTTTTCTAGAGGGGTGATGGAGAAGTCCTTCCTGGAGTATTATGACTTTTATGAGGTGGCCTGCAAAGATCGCCTTCACCTTCAAGGCCAGACTATGCAGGTAACACAGCCTCTGCTGCTAATTCTAGAAGCCCCACCCACAGCAGACCATGGACACCCCCCTCCCCAAAGGTGACATTCACTTCTCTCGTAGAATGTCACAGCTAAAAGGAACCTGTGTCATTTGAGGAACCTTGGCCCAGAGAGGAGACTGATTTGCTTAAAGTCATGTGGAGTTGGTTCCTAGTTCCTGGCATAAAGTAGGTACTCAGGGTAGGATCTTCATTGTCCTACCTTCTAGGCTGAAACTTCTTCCCTTCTTGGTCGATAGATTTTTCAACCCAAGAACATTCAACCCCCTCAGAATTTTAGGGACGATAAAAATCATTATTGGAATTTTATCCCAAGCCCTAAGGAATCACAGAGAAAGCTTAGAGAAACAGTGGCTGTGCAGTGTCATAAACAGTTATTCATTCTCTGCCTTACTGGGAAAATGTGCTCTGGCTTCCAGTAAGAATGCAGATTCAGGCTTGTTTTAATGAAGAGATTCTCACTGATGCAGTCACCTGGTGTGTAAGAGAGTGAGAACCCTCCTGCCTGTAGGAGCATTTCTTGTGTCTTTGGGTCATTCAGTAGTGGCCTTGCTTAGAAATGGGTGACTTGGGTAACTAAGATCTCTTAGGCTTTCTCCAGCTTTGTGCTATTTCTACCCACTACACCAACTAACAAAAGTAGAAGTAGATGTCTTGTTTCCTCAGTGCTGCTCATAGATTGTAGCTCCCCTATTCTGCTTTCAAGGTCTTCCCACTCACCTACCTTACTTAAGTGCAAAGGACAAAGCAGGTTCAGAGTTAACACATTTCTTGAACCTTTTTTGAGAATATACTATGATGTCTGCCCTAGTTTGTTCCCCATTAGGAGTTCTCATTACTGATGTCCAGCAACATTACCAACCTTCAATCTCTGAAGGAAAAACAGCTTTTGATGAGGAATGGGATAGGAGGGCCCGTATCTGGGGAGGAAGGGAATGGGGGGAAATGGAATCAAAGACAAAAGAAGAAAGATGTGGAGAATTGACAGATCCAGCATAAGAGTGGAACTTTGCCTTTGAGTAATATAACCTTCATGAGTGTAAAGGTGGGCTATGGTCATAGTTACTGTAACTATTACCCAATGGGACCCTGCTGTGAGGGTAATGTATAGGACAGAAATGTGGGAATAGGACCTGGGGTGTAACTCAGTGGTAGAGCACTTGAGTAGCATGTATGAAGCTCTGTGTTCAATCCCTAGTGCCACCAAAAAAAAGGGGGGGAGGGATTTTTGTGAGAGGAGAAAACAGGAATTTTGTAACCTTTTTGACTACCAAAGAAGATAAGTATTTAAACCCTAGTCATACTATTTTGCTGCCAAAGTCCCTCTACAGCATTTTAAACTTGTGTGTGTGTGTGTGTGTGTGTGTACACACACATTTATGTCCTTTGTTCTAACCATATTATTTTTGAGACTTTGAGGACAGTTAAACCTTTCTATGAAGTGTTTAAGAGATCTTTGATCTAGAATGACAAGGACTGGGTGGCCCTGGAGTGATGCCCAGAAACCTTGACAGGAATGTACTGACGAGTCTCTGGGGAAGAGTACCTGTGCTTATCTGGAAGTCAGAACTCTTATTAAATTCTAGACCTGCCTTTTTTATTTTTAACTGGGAATTGAACCCAGGGGCATATTTTATCACTGCGCCCATCACCACCCTTTTACATACACACCCCTAGGGGTGCTTACCCACTGAGGGTCTAAGTTACTGAGACTGGTCTTGAACTTGATCCTCCTGCCTTAGCCTCAAGGGATTGCAGGCATGCATGCCACTGTGCCCACCACAAAGTGTCGTTTTTGACTATAGGGAATGAAAGATAGTTGTTCCCCCTTTGGTTTTATGTGGTGCTGAGGATCGAACCCAGTGCCTCACTCATGCTAGGAGAGTGCTCTACCTCTGAGCCACAACCCCAGCCCCCTGCAAACACATTTTAATGTCAGCCCAGGCTAGATCTATTTGGGTTAATAAACATGCCATAGCATTAGGACTGTTTGGGTCTCCCTGTACTGCACAGTGCCCTCCTCTGTTCTCATGACTCAGAAGGTGAGTTTGCATTTCACATGGGCCCAAAACTGGTCTCCAGGCTGAGCCACCCAGACTTGGATCTTCCATCCCTGTCTCCTTTCCCCACAGGACCCTTTTGGAGAGAAGCGGGGCCACTTTGACTACCAGTCCCTCTTGATGCGCCTGGGACTGATTCGTCAGAAAGTGCTGGAGAGGCTCCACAATGAGAACGCCGAAATGGACTCTGATAGCAGCTCTTCTGGGACAGAGACAGATCTGCACGGGAGCCTGAGGGTTTAGACCCTGCTCCCCCTCCCCTCTCCCCAGCAGAGTCCCTTCCCCCCACCCCAGGGATGGAGAGGCACTATGTATCTCCCTCCAAACGTGACGTCATTCTGCAAGATGGCAAGAAGCAAGCTTGGATCCCAGGGTGTGGGAGTGGGGGGCTATTCCAATCTGACCTCCTTGGCGCTGGAGCACCTGGGGCTGTGTTCATCTTGGATCAGGGCCAAGGTACCTTTACAGGATCATCTATGACAAGGGCCTCTGGCAAAACAAAACAACAAACACACCTCTCTGCAAGGCCAGCTTCTTAGGGTTTAAAGACAAATTTCAGTTCCAAGAGGGAATGTGCCCAAATGATTTATGGGGGTATCTGGAAGGAAACTTTGGGGTAGGGGGCTGTTTGTGACACTTAAGCAGTCTGGGTGGTTGTCTGTGTCTGTCTTCAGTCTTGAAGCAGGGCTTCCCATTGCCCTTTTCCTCCCTGCCCCCCTGCCCTTTTATCTCCCACGGGCCAGCATAATTTTGTTTTCCTAATTTATAGTCACTGTTCTAGACAGACCAAAGAGAAGGAACAGTGGTGGAGTCTAGGCTGCTGATCAGTTAGCTTTACCTAGCACCTGAGCACCTTTTTCCCCTACCCCTCGTTCCCTTGCTCTTTTAGGTTTCAGACAGAAGGTAAACAGGACCAGGACTGAACCAGGTCTTGGTGAAGCCTGCACAGGCACCGTGAGAAGCCGGAAGTACTGTGTGTTCCCGCAATCACAGATTTGAAAAGTTCCCAACACAGGCAGCTGCAGTGTGTATGGGATTAGAGCCACTACATAGAATAGTCTCTTAAAGATTTTCTTAAGTACTAGTCACAATGAGGATATTTTTTCTTGGGGGTGGGGTAAACAGGGGAGACTGATGCTAGTCCTTCTTGCATTTTGTTTGGCTGACCTTGTGTATTTTCACCCCAGTCTGTAGTCCCCTACCTCACTTCAACCCCCAGGGAGCAGGAGTAGCCAATGGCAGAAGGGGATCTGGGCTGGGACTCTAGAAGACTCCTTCCCCTCTCTCCCCTCCCCCTCCCAGCTGCTCTTTGTCACTGGCTCTGATGGGTGTTTGCCTGGCTATGTTGCTTCTCTATTTGTATTTTAGCTGCAGTGATCCTTTAACTGGTTGGCTCAGAAAAGTGTTCTAGGCGCCCAATAATACTGGGCATCAAGGGAATTTCTCCTTCCCCTTTTTGATATGTTCTTCCCCTACTTCCAGATTCTTGCTGTTATGGACCCCCATGGAGTGTTGGTGATCCATGTGAAACAGGGCCCAGTCAGTATCCAGCCACAGGCAGAAGAGAGGATAAGGTGTATCTGCCCTACCCACTGCTTTTAAGGTCTCTGCCTGATGGATCATGGGACTCCCCTGGGGGGGACAGTGGGGGAGGAAAATGGGGCACAAAAGAAGAGCTTCCTAAAGGGCAGGAAGAGGAACTGGGGAGGGAGTGGTACACTTGGGGAACAGAAGTTTATCTTGGCTGTCTGAAGAATAGGTCTCAACATGGAGACTCAAAGGGACCCTGCTTCCAATGTCCCTCCTCTTCCATTCCCAGAGCTAGTCCAGGGCCGAGAAGAATGCCCTTGGTTTGTGGGTCCAGTGTTGTCTGTTATCCATCTAAGTGTTCCCACTTTGAAGTGACAATCTTCTCCTTGGCCCTGCCATGGGGCAGAGCATGTCTGGCATAGTGGCCTGACTTTTACGCCCTAATCTTGAGTTGAGGAAATATATGCACAGGAGTGAAAAGAGATGTCTTTATATCTGACTGTACATAAATGAAAATTTTTTTTCTTTTTTTGGTGCAATAAAGTTTGTTTTGGCAGAAGGAGGAAGCGCCTATGGGTGTGGGAGGGGGTTTCTGTCAAGGAAGAATGGGATCATCTCAACCACCACACTCACCTGGGCCTGAATCTGTTAGGAGAGGAACTGTTCAGTGAATTTGAAGCTAAAAGACTTGTGTAACGTGGTATAGGCAGGACTATTGGTGATTATTTCTCTGTTAGGGAAGGAGGGGCTTTTCAAGGATGGCTGTGGCTCAGTAGTCAATGAGCAGAAGGCAAGTTTTGCCTCAATTACTTCCAAAAGCATTGAGGAGTGAGCAATGCTCTGTAACAGGCAGAAGTAGTAATTGGCCTGTGCTACAGCTGATAAGGAAAGGATGACCGCATGGAGAGACCACTGGATTTTAGCTTTCTGGTATTAAATGAGCACTTCTGAAGAATTTTGCGTTTACTTTGAGAGCTGTAAACTCTGGCTTGGTTTCTCATCACCATCCTTGCTATAGCAGAATCTTGCTTCCTGGGGCACATGGGCTTTTCCTCTTGGCTGGCCACATGTGTAGAAGGCATTGTACACATAATGTTCTGCCTGCCTGTACTGTGCAAAGCAGTGATACGGGAAAGCGTGGGTTCTGGTTAATAGACCCAGTTCTTTGGTGCTGCTTAAGCTGATAACCTCTGGTAAATTACTTTGATTTGTCATCTGTGAAGTTAAGGATACCTATTTTTATTAATGCTGCAAGGATTAAATGTGTAATATATGACAGTACAGGGTAGGTATTCAGTAAGATTCCCACCACTGAGGTTAGAGGGACCTGGTAATCAGTCTACGGGGAGAACTAGCAGGGAATTTGAGGACCAAAACATAGTGTTCACTATTGTCTGATTCTCAAAGTTTTGTTTTCTTTCCTCCAGCTTAGCCACCATTTAACACTGACTTCAGTTTCCTTCACACTCAGACTTGGATCTGTCATAATGTAGGTCCTCTACAGAGAAAGCTAGGAGAGACTGAATCAGTGACTTGACTAGTTCACAAGGGTCTGCTAGTGTGTGATAAGGAGCATGGAGTAATGAAGAGTTCTGAATTAGAGTTGTTATTCACTTTATGGCTACAGAAAAAACTATACTCTGTAGCCAGGAGATGGCTTGTGTTCTGGGCCCAGCTCTTCCATGACCTTATAGATGACCTGCACAAGTCATATGTGCTTGCTGTACTTGTGTTACTCAGGTTCCCTTACTGGATAAAGGAAGCTTCCTCCAAAAGAGATGCAATGTGAAGGCATTTTTAAAAAATAAAAATACTGGGGGAAGAAAGAAAAACTTAGAACCTTTCTTTTATAAACAAAATTGTCCAGGTTTATTCACCAACAGTTCCTCCTTTTTCTCACTGCCTGCTACTGTGCATCCCTCCATACTGAATCAGGGAAGGGCTTCTCTGGCCTCCTCAGCTGTTATCTCCTGTGAGTAGAGGTCAGTGAAGAGAGCTGGCAGCCAGTAGTGGGCCTCCCCTGGGGCCTGCAAGTCCAGCCAGGCCAGCCCCTCCTTCAACAGGTGTTCCTGGGGGAAAAGAAAGAATGCTTGAGAGGGGAGGTTCTGTGGGTGAAGTGTGGTAGCGAAGCAATCTCCAGACCTATTTTGGCTTCAGCAAGGTTTTCAAACAGCCTTTATGTGCCTTTGCACATTACAGAACCAAACTGGGATGCTGCTTGGCCTCATTTGCCTGAAATGTGAAAATAACCACCAAGTCATTTAACTTGTGCTGCTAGTGAATAGTAGAGCCTGAGTAACATGGGATGTAGTGGAAGAAGGCAGGGCTCTTATTTTATGGCCTTGAGCAAATTACTGCTTCCATTCTCCCTGGAGAAAAGTAGAGATCACTGTTCTAGCTGTGAGTTGATTTGCTGGGAACAAATGTGAGGGACCACATTTATTCTACGATGGACTCACAGTTCCTATTCCTATGCAGGAAATATGTTCAATATTTACACTCTCCCACTTTACAGATGAAAAATCTAGATACTAAATTGCCTGGGTAAGGGAAAAGCTACTGAAGCCAGAGCTCCTACATTCTCATGCTGCTGCTGCTTCTTCACAACAGTCTTACATCAGTACATGAATATATATATATAAAGTTGTTATATAATATGCAATATATTGCTTAGTATATACTTATAGATATATAAGTAGTAATTAATTCCCTTCACTCTGTACTAGTTATTTCCAGCAGAAACTATATTAAACTCCTGACCAGCAACTCCAGGCTGAGTATGTCCAGGAGAGTAAGTGGGCATTGGTGGTTCCCCAGTAGCAAGGGCAGCTGCTGTTAGTGCACCCCAGGGTCAGAGGCCTGCCTTAATGAGTTATACCTTCTCAGCAGAGAGATGATGGGCTTCTCCTAGGGTGAAAACTGTAGCCTACAAGGCAAGAGTGAGCAGAGAAAGCCTAAAGTTCCTGCCTGTGTGGAACCCACCTCCCAACCAGGAGCCCATCTTTTCTGGGCCATTCCAAAATCACATACCAGCACTTGGCGCGCCCGCTCCGTCTCCCATTTAAGACTGGCTTTGATTTCACTGACAGTCACGTACCCATTTTTCTGAAGGAAGGAGCAGTGAGAACTGAGTCAGTTAAGAGTGCACTCCCCTAGAGCCCAGCACCTGCCCAGGACCAGCACACTTATCTGAACAGGAGAAAGAGCTGCCCTTGGGCCAATCCTGAGAAAGTACGGGAAAAGAATGTTTAGAGAAGTGACTTTCAGGATGATAGGGGTAGTTTCGTGGGTTTGATCTTAATATGTGGGGTCCCAGGTACTAAGATATTAAATTAGACTTGCAGAGAACTCTAATGCATGTCAAGAGAAGATTCAGAATGATAACTGATCGGAAGCAATGGTGATAATCATCACCTGTTAATCTAAAATATTTATAAATAGCTCTTGCCCTGCTTCATCCTACCTGTTCCCCAAAATAAAAATTTTTAATAAAAAAGCCCATTCCTTAATTTTATTTTGCATTAAAGAATTAAGGAAATGAACATGTCTTTCCTAAAATATATGATGGAGTTCTGGGGGAAGATGGTATATGCTTCAGGCATGAAAGGAATGAGAGGATTGGCAAGCAAAATTTTAAAACTTGTTTTGAAGAATCCACAAAGTAGCTTAAGAGGACACCAGAGAGTGTCTACCCCAGGAAATATAGTTAGTTGTCTGCATGTCTGTCTACCTGACTAGACTGTAAGCTCCTCGAGAGCAGGGACTTCATTGGACCTCTCTCTATATCTGCCCCACAGCCTAGCCCAGTGCTTTGCACTGTAGCTACTCAATAAATGTCTGCTGAATGAGCACAGGACTGAGTAGTTCATCCATAAGACAGTCTGGAAAAGACCTGAGCAGTGGGGAGAGAGAGATAACAGCTCACACACTCTCTAAGGGTGCACCATTACCTCTGCCAGCTGCAGCACCACAGTGTGATCCATATTGAGCTCAGCTGGAACAGACTGAATGAGGTAAGTACCGCCCACAGGGATGATGCCGAAGCCAGTGCCCAATGCCTTTAGTTTCTTGATGGCCCTGATCAGGTCGTCTCTGAGGTGAGGAAGAGCAGCTTAAAGACCCTTG